ATTACATGAAAGTAGCTTTTATTGATACATATTTTTTGGGAGTAACTCCTGATTTTATGCCAGAGTAAGTACAAGGAGAATTAGGCCCTAAATATATATATTTCAGGAACAAAGTGTAATTTCCAATAAATATACTTAAATGTGCATTTGTTTGCCAAGTGGTGTTGCTTCTCTCCTGGGTTATGAGAAAACAAATTAATACATTTCCTACTCTTTCTCTGTCCTCTGCCAGCATGCACACTCCTGGTATACATGCTTTTCTGGGTGAGAGAGTTTTTGCAGGAGCTCCTTGCATCTTGAAGGTTGCAGTGTTGTTAGGCCCAGAGTTACTATAAAATCTCTTTAATGAAGAGCCAGATTCTGCCCTTAATAAGAAGCTCAGGATTTGACTTTTTCTTTCATGCTGATACAGGGTACCAGTATAAAGTGTATTTACACTCGCATCACAGCCTCTTCTCACTTCAAGCACAGTGTAGACAGTCACATTTTTGAGTCTCCTTGTACTGGTAGAAAGGATCTTGGAGTAAATATGGATGGGGCCCTCATTGTCTCTAGCACCATCAAGCAAGTGAAGAGTGTGAGTGGCTGTGTGCTTTTAAAAAGGCGGACAGGAGGCATAATTCCATTATGAACAGAACTGACAAACTTTTTACTTAATTTCAAAATTACAAGGCAATTCTGACATTCTTGACTTTGCCAGTTGTGCCTTGAGAATTGAATCATGTTGCATTCTGGTCAAGGCTTTTTAGAACAAACCCTGAGTGCTGTCTGTTCCACTCCATTTAGATACATACTGGGTTAAGAAAATGTAGGATTTCCTTAACTCTGTATCTTAGCTTTATCTGTCCAAAATAAATGTTCTATCAGTAGGAAATGTTATGCTTTCATTTGTCTTATGTTGGGGTAATGTCACGCATTACTATCCCCATACTTTTTTTAAATGATGATCCTCATTCTTAAGCAATGTACCTCTTAGTTCCACCTGGAGATCAGGATTCCTAATGAGACTCTAGGGTTTTTTCCCAATCTGATTTTTTTGCTGTGGAGGTAAATTTCCGTAATGGAGGATGAAGTGTAGAACAGGGTGACCTGTAACTTTGAGTTGGGGGAGAGTGTGGAGACTGTACAGGGGTAGGGTGGGGCTTTAAATAGATACATTTTAACATCCACCATTACTTTCCTGGTGATAGTTCCACTACTTTACCTGTAAAAAAAAATAAATAAATAAAATAAAATAAAATGTTTGGGCACTAAAATCCTACCCAAATACTGTTTAATATGGCATTATTGATTAATTAGCACAAGACAGCATTATTGAGTGATGTTGAAAACAATTATTGTCACATTGTAAACTAACGCCAACTAGATGGTGCTACTTGGAAAGAAAGGAAGGAAAGCTAGTTGTGTTTGGTGACTGCTTGCTGTTAGCTTCATGTTTACAGGTGTCTGTTTGTGAGTTTCTCCCAGAAAGGTGGTGTCACAGTGTGAAAGTGGCATGACCTTTGATAATGGAAAATGGAAGCGAAAGGGAAGAAATCTGTATTAACTAGGAAAAATCATTTGACTGCCGATTTTAGATTTGGAAAAGGCTGTATGAGATTTGACATTTTATACCTGAGGTGGTCTTTTGCTGGGGGTGGGGGGAGGAGGGTTGTAAAGGGGAGCTGCTGAAAAGTTTAAACTTTTGCTTAAGTATTCATTTATTTTGCATGGCCAGATGGGAGAATTTTAAGTCAGCAAGAAGAAAGAAAAGAGGCTTATGGAGAAATGTGTTTGGGGACTTTGTACAATACATAGTAGGCATAAACATGGCTTTTATATATCATTTTTCTTCTTAACACAAGTCGTGTATTTTATTAAGTTTTATGGTAGCAGGTAAAAACAAAAAAGTTAAATTTGGGGGATGAATAAAGGAGAAGGTACAAACTACTTTATACATGTGTTTGTGTGCAAAATGTTACACAAGGCTGCTGCACACAAGTATATGATGTAAGGCAATGGGGATGACCTGATTAGCAAAGCCCTCATGAAAAGCTGAGGAGATCCCCACTGTAGCAGCATTCCCTTCCTTGGAGACCTGCAATTTTCCCTTAAGTCCCAGATGAAGGAAACCTTCACAGAGCAACAAGCACTAATGGCAGGCTTTTGAAAATGGCAGGGACAGAGCCAGAGGTAGGTGGTGGGGGTGTATAAAAACACTTCAAAGAGCTGAGATGGTCTTCGCAGCTTCATGTATATAGACTAGGGAGGCATGCTAACAAGTTATATTTGGAGGATAGGGAGTATTGTGCATTTGGAAGGTTGTGTTGCATCGAACAGCTAGCTCTGTTTTTGTTTTGCTGTTTATCCTATTGGATGTGAGCCAGTATTCAGCAGAAGGAGGCAGTAGGGTAAGATAAAATAAGATGCTGACAACACCCTTTCCATTTCTAAGTGCTTAGGGCCTTATTTTCTGAGGTACTGAGCAACTGAAGGTCCCATAGATTGAAAGACGAGTTGTGAATATTTGGTACCTATTAAATAAGATGTATAGTGTTTCAGATCCAAGATAGAAAATATTGTATAAACATACATGGAAGATGCAAATATGTCTCTTGTATGTCTGCATAATGTGTGAACTGTATTTGGAATAATTTTTCATATTCTTGCTGTATACGGCTTTAGGGCTTGTCTTGTGATTGGGGCACAGCACTTGGGATCAGGAGAGTAGGGTTCTTTTCATGGCTTCACCACAGACTACCTGTGTTGCCTAGTGTAACAAATTTCTGTTACATAGCAGACAGTTATTTTGGCCCTCCTTGTCAGACATGCTCCATCCGTCCCATGCCAGCTGTTTCAATGGGAGCCACAAGTTCTCAGCCTTTAAAACTGCTTGTCAGGAGTAGAGCCTTTGCCCCAAACATAAATCTTACCTTGGGATGTGGTGGGGGTGGAGGGTTGGCTATTCATGCTTAAAACTCAAGGATTATTTATTGTGGGATAGATTTGGTTCTGAGCTGTGGCAAAGGAGCAAAGAATTTTAATTCTTTCTCCTTTCCTCCCATCCTATTTCAGGAGGTATGGGAATGGGCAGTCAGCACTTGAGACACTATCAGTATCTACTGCTGCATAAGCAGGGACTTGCGATAAAATCGCAGTATAAGCCCTCTGTGTGGCATTGTTTCTCTTCTTAGCAACAATTTCTGCGTGAAAACAAAAAATACCTATTGCCTTCTGTAAATTAAGAGCTAAAATGTTTCATAATATAAAAGGTTGGTTTCCTGTTTTGATGGCAAGACTTTATTCCGATACTAAACCACTGTGATCTGTTTGTCCTTGTTCTATGTCGGCTTTATTATAATGTTCATGACTTAGCTCTCATTAGTATCTTGATGGATAGGAGATGGACTTCAGCAATTGTATGATTAGAAAGTCACATCTTGTTATTATCTGTTCTCTTGTGTTTTTGTCCATATCATTATACCTTTCCTAGTGATGATACTAATGATTTGAAACTGTAACATCGACACAGGTGTCTGAACCTTATCTTTTTTTTTAACAATGGGATGAAGGAAGAGACCCTTAAATGTAGCTAATGGGATTAGTTTATCTGTTTCCTGCATGGGGGACTGGATAGCTCAGTTGGCAATGCTATACAGATAGAACTTTTACATTGAATTTTAGTCTTTCAGATTTAACCTCAGTCCTATCTGACTTCTGCCTTTTAGCCCACATAAAATGAGATTAGAGATGCCTGTCCAGTCTTAGTGAACATATCTGTATTGCAGATCTACTGCTATAATTGGCACCTTTATGAGGGTCTTAACAGAAGCTGAATATTTACCTAGATGTGGAGGCTGAAATACCTGCTTTTGAAGCTGATTCTCTGGTCAGAAATTACGCTTATTGTCAGGCCAGTGTTTCTTCTTGCTGACAAAGCTACATCTGGTCTTTAGATAGACAGCATGACTCTGGACAAGTTACTCCAGCAACTTTCATGAATTGCTTAGTGTTTCAGATGTGTGTGTCTTACGTTAGGGGTAGCTAAGCATACTAATACACTGAATTGATGGATTTGATCAGAGGTGCCCCCACAGCACTCCATTAACTTCTTTAGGATTTGGATAATTCCCTGAGGACCTAATTCAAAGCTTGATTGAAGTCAGTGGAAAGATTCCCAGGCTGTACTTCAGTCTAACAGGGCAAACAAGCAAACATGAGAAACAATAGAATGCACTTATCCCATTTGTATACATGAACTGTGAACCAAAACACAGCTGGCACAGTAAGTCTCATTTGCCTTGGCAATCCTCCATTACATGATTAAGGCACTGCCAGCAGAAAAGCAGAGATTCATGTATCATCTCTCTCCTCTATCATGAAACATGTCTGTGCAAGAACTGTGATTTGGAGATTATCTACACACCACACATGCCCTGCTTCATTAAATCATTGCATTTTGAACTCTTGTAAGGAGAGTTCATTTCTATGTACTTACTGACTGTGTAGTTCCCTCTCTCACTCTGAAAGACTGCACATAGATAAATACACAAATGCTGGGGCTAAGTATGTAGGGATAGGTGAATATTTTTGACAACTTGTTCCTTGAGCACAAAGAATGCAGTACCACTTACATTTAATGTTTGTATGGAAGGAAGGTGGTTCTTATGGTTTAGATAATAGACTGGGGTGTAGGAGATCTGGGTTCAATTCCTAGTTCTGTCATGAAATCTCTGGGTGACCTTGGGGCAAGTCGCTTCATTGAGCTTTAGTTCCCTGGCTGTAAAATGTGGATAAAAGTGTTTATTCCTTCAACTTTATCGCTTCTCAGATTGCAGATCAGTTGGAGTGGGGTTTATGGCCACCATATGCATATGCAGTACCTCGCACAATGGGATTCTGATTTTGGTTGGAGTTGCTAGGCACCAATGTAAATAATACTGATATTGGTATTAGCTCATTGGAACTAGGAAAAGATTGATTTTTATTATATATACATATATATTTTTCCCTAATTTCAGCAAATTCAGTAAAGCTAGAAATGCAAAGTGATGAGGAATCTGACAGGAAACCCCTGAACCGGGAAGATGAGCTCAGGGGTCATGATGAAGGAAGCAGCCTGGAAGAACCCCTCACTGAGAACAACGAGATGCTTGATAACAGAAAGATCCAGGATCTGTCAAGCGAGGGAGGAATCCGTCTTCCGAATGGTAAACTGAAATGTGACGTCTGTGGCATGGTTTGCATTGGGCCCAATGTGCTAATGGTACATAAAAGGAGCCACACTGGTAAGCAGCTGAAAGGAAAACTGGTGACTGCCTGTGGCATCTGATGTTGATATTACCTGACAACTATTCTCTTGCCTTTTTATTCATGGGTGACAATGGGCTGGGGAGGGAAAGGATGGATTTGCTTTTTCAAAATTCTGGTGGCATTCTGTTGTTGGCAAGCAAAAAGCTTCCTCAGCATTGAATCCCAACCTTTGCTTCTTAGGCACAGCAAAGAAAAAAAAGTCTGGAAATCAGCCTTTGCTGTTCTTGATCAGCAGCAATATGGTAAAAGTTCAATGCCAGTAAAATTGACAGTATCTGTTTTTGCGTGCCTTTAAAATTAAAAGAAGTGGCCAAAGTTACTAAGTTCACAGCTTTCAGACTTCAAGATGTGAGTCTTTATAAAGATTTTGTGAAAGCCGTGGGCCACACCGAGATCAGAACCCTGGTTCAAGAAAGCACTTAGGTGCTTATTTGTAAACATGTACTTAAGTCTCATTGAAGTTAAGTGCATATTAAGTGCTTTCCTCAATCTGGGCCTGAAGGAATGCCTTCTGCTTTTATCAGAGTTTTGGGGAAAGGTCTTGCTTGCATTTTTTATGCCTTTTCATATTGCTAATGAGCAGAGGGATAATCTATCCTTAGATATTAGGTATTCTACATATATAACTTAACTTCCAAGGTAGAAGAAAAAGCAGTGGGTTAGCATAGAATAAAAATATTTGTATAGTCCCTTCAAATTAACATTTGCAGTAAAGTGGTGTGCACTTGATGACAAAGAAATCAATAGAACCGCTGTACAGAGCTATAATAAATATATAGTTAATGCTCTGTATACAAATTGTATTGATGATATTTAGCATGTATGTATAATGCAAAATACTGCAGTAACTTTTATGATGCATTCATGATTTTAGACAGCAATTACAGCAGGGGAAAAGCATTTCTTAGAGAACTGAAATTTTGATTGACATTTTGACATACCATTACTAGAAAAGGAAGGGTGAACAGTTAAGTATAACTTATATAGCCAACTAAGTTCTCAGTTTTTTGTTAGTCCCTGAAAGTTCTTGATGACATGTACATACATATGAGCATATGTACTAGGTACATCAAAGCCCATTTTTATTTTTAGTGTCCAATTTAGGCAGTCACATAAGATGTTTCTTTAGGTGCATAATTTAAAAAAAGAGGTTTTTTGAGGTGCTGAGCACTGGCAGGTTCTTTACTTACAGTGGATCTGCCATTCTTTTAGGTACCCACTTTTAAACAAGCAAACAGAATGCTTTCTTATGTATATGCAGAGGTAGAGAATGTGTAACACTGGAATTTTCTCAAAGCTATTAAAATGTCCTTATAGAACTATAGCTCTTTCCCCCTGAGGTAGGAAGGCTGTGATTTACTACTCTATAGAGATGATTTGAAGCATGTAGAAATGGCATTTCTTTTATTCTGCACCTCGGCACACTCCTCTTAGTCAACCAATTTGCAATCTAGGCTGCTGCTTCATTCTCCACCATAGGAGGGGATTGCTTGCATGTCCATATCCTTGACTTTAATGGCAAGAGAATAAAATGTTAAAAATACTATATAGGGGGAGATATCTCAAATATAGCATCACATTGTCATTTGGAATGAGCTAGCCTGAAACTTTGGGCATGCCCCTGAGTCCCAGATAATCTGTGGGTATATAGTCCCAGAGGGAACACTGGGAAGGAAGCTATTCTAGCTAGTGAAAGAGGGGAGGCTTATTATGTGTCAGCCCTCACAGACCTCGGGATAGTTCTCATATCCCTTTATTCCCATGAGTTTTGCTGGGCAATGCACATGTGTTGGCACCTGATTCCCCGTTACCCTCCTGCATGGCTTCCTTGAACCATGGCACAATCTGGCCTTCTGTTTGCAATGCATAAATTTAATTTTTTTTTCTGTTCAGAAAATGGAGATGCCTTCCATAGCAGCAGTGTGGCATGCCTTACAAATTGTACACAGCCCTAGTGACCACAATGCTAATCATTGTAATTGCATGTCCTGGGTACCCTGTGTTAGATGCCTCCTTATTTCACTGCATGGTCTGCCTTAATTGCAGCCTCCCTGAGGCAGTCCTCCTCCTTTACTGGAGAAGGATCCCTTGACCCCTTACTGCCCACAGTCAGAGTAAGAAAGTAAACTCTGCCAAACATAGGACACTGGTGCAGATTATTCCTCCCAGAGCAATGGTAAAAGCTATCAATGCTCAATTCAGCTTCAGGTTTGCTCCTAGAACAGCACAGTTTATTCAGGACTTGTAGTAACTTTACAAAGGAGCCCATAATGCTACAGCTGTTTGCAGTCATTACTATAATACATTAAGCCTTTTAAGGCATTGATAATTCAGTTGAAGCATTTGTCCAAAGTCATAGGAGACCCTAAGTTTTAGGATTTCCATGTATTTGTCATAAACAGAAAAATAAACAACAACAACAAAAAAACCAAACCAAAAACAGCCCCTCCTCCCAGACTTCAGCACAGGAATGCAATGTGCATACCTAGACAGTTTATTGAGCTGCAACCTCCCCACTCATTTCATGAGAGCAACATGTAAAGTCTCATTTACTTCCCTTCTCTTTCCACCCTGTCTTGTCTTGTCTTCCAAACCTCACATTACATGTTGCCCACAATAAGTTGCTGACCATAGCATCTGCACAAGATTTCTGTGTTACTGCATAAGCTAGGTAATCAGGTAATATTGTCATCGGATACTCCAGGCACTCTTGTTTGGAGGTATTGAAAGGAAAAAAAAAATGCAGGGACAATAATTCAATTTGAGGAAATAAAACAGGAATTCTGGTGTTTAAAGTGAATCTTTTCTCTTTCTAGTGTTAACCCTTTATGGGCATGAAAGAAACTCATGCCTTCCCACTTTCAGCAAAGCTGATACCACTTATTACATTGATGCTCTTCTGTAGCCATGCCTTTTCCTCAAGTGAGGTGTATGTGATTTCCTCACTTAGTCTGAATAGTAACTTATTCCATAATACCTAGCTCTGCCTGAGTGTTTTTTATCACTTGTTATCAAAGTGCTTTACAAGGAAGATGGGTATCGTTAACCTCATTTTAATGATGAGGAAATTTGAGACACAGATGGATGAAGTGATTTGCCTGTCTTAATAAGACAGGTCATTGGCACAGCCAGGACTGGAACCCAAGTCTCTTTAGTCCAAGTAATGCTGTATCCACTAATCAGTGAAAGTACTCATGATCAAGTTGTTTTTCACTGGGAATAATCACATTAGTCCCCCTATGTTAACCCACATTTACACACTGGTGAAGTGTCTTATTTATTCTGTTCTAGGTGATATGTTTGGGGGACTCTCATACCTTTCTTTTCAATCCATGTTCAGTTTAGTGCCACAAAGTAGAATGAAATAATATTTACCCATACCTGTTGTATACAGATGTACATGATGCTGAGGATTTTTTGCACTTGCACATTCATAGCATAAAATTTAGAGAGCTATTTTAACTTTTGTTTCATGTAGGGAACAGGCTTTTTGGCACAGTTTGATAAGAGAAGAAAAACCCAGTTGTGCTAGTACAGTATTAAAATGATGTTTGTGCTTAATATGATTGACCAGAAACAAATACATACCTTATTAAATGGCTAAAATAATTTCACTCGACTGTCAAAAACAATTTTTGTGAAAGCTTAAAATAATTTAATTTATAAGACAGTTGCAGACACCTGCCTCTTGCAACCTGGAGTTATTTAGCGTAGGATAGAAGGATCAAGGCTGTAGGGTTAAATGAAGGATGAATGTGATATAATAGTCTGAGCATCTCAGTCAGTGGTTCTCAACTTTTTTTAGGGTTATGGCATCTCTCAGTAGGCTTGAGGCACACTTCTGAAAATGCCAGCTCTTAGTTTCCACTCACTTTTTTGACTACAGAAAATTAAGAGAGCAGACCTCAAGAAAGACCACAACAGGTCAGAATGTTTTTCATGGATTCATATTTGAAATCCCTGGCTGGGTCCACACGAGCAGGGGCATGCCTTGACAGCAGCACAAATAGTAGTGGCACAAATTTGTGCTGTTACTTTGTGTCATAGTGCATGCTCCTGCCTGTGTGCTTTGCAGCAGGACCTGTTGTTCTGCTACTCTATGTGCTGTGCCAGGGCAGGAGAGACTGGAGTTAGCCATCCCATGTGCTGAGGCACCCCATGCCCTGGCCAGCTGGTGAGCAGTACCTAGAGATGGGGGAGCAGCTCCTCCATCTCTCTGCATGCTGCAGGGCCGCAGTGTTGAGCCACCCTGTGCCCCAGCCAACTGCTTCCTGCCTGGCTGGGGTGCAGTGTACATCAAGACAGGGGAGCAGGCAGTCTTGGGCTGGCAGCTTCCCTGTTTGTGTGCCTCAGCACAGAGGCTCCACTGAAGAGCCCCCATGCTGAGACACACTGTACCCCAGCCAGCTGTTCCCGTCTTGTGGCACACTGCACCCCAGCCAACCAGGTAGGAGCTGACTGGGGCACAGGGTGCCTCAGCAGGGGGGCTCCACAGTGTGCGTAGATGAGAGACCAGGTCCAATCTCTGCATTTGTTCTGGTGCTTGCCACTTTGGTGTGGTTTGTGCCAGTTTTTTTTTTTTAGGTTATTTTTTTTGCTACCGGGAAATCCCAGTAGCAAATTTTTCCCCGGCATTGCAAATTAGCAGCAGTGAACACTGATTAACATGCAACTGGTGTGGTTTGTGGCACTGTAAAGAGGTTTGAAGCGTCACAAACCACACGTACCTGCATGTCTGGGTCCTGCCCCTGGGTTTATCTTGTGGATCGTGTTTGCAGACCTAATGGTGTTAATATTGCATGACACAGTGGGGCACCCCAGGATCTCAAGGCATTCCGGGGTGCCATGGCACCCAGGTTGAGAATCACTGATCTAGATGAACAAGCTCACAGATATCCAGCATAAGGAATACGGAAATTGAACAAGTTCATCCCTCCCCCTCCCCCTTTTTTTTAGTTCAGGTCATGGTTAATTT